CCTACCACACTCACCAGTCGGGACATGTGAAATATAAAAAAACAGGAACTTGCACATTGTCAGCTCTGCAAAGATTTATATAGTAAACAGAGCATAGCACGTTCAGCTTAAGAAAAAAATTCAGTGCAGGCCTATATTCATGGTTCACATATGTGTAATTGCTCTTTATAATGAAGTGAAAACTGCTTAAGTTGTGGCCCACAACAGGCTTTCTATAAGTGTTAAAAAGTGCGGTAGAAAATATGATTGCGCTTGGAAGACTGGGACATAGGAAGGACAGACACAACAGAGCGCTAACTTTCAAGTGATTTAATTCAAGAACCTCAGCGTAGAAACGGACTGTGTCACCGCACCACATCTCAACCAATCCGTGGCCCTGCCACGGACCGCAAGTACGCCAACTCCTTATCCGCCAAGTCAATTGACGCCACACTGACACAACTTGTGCCGGAACTATTTATAGTGTCAGCCTCCATAATCTCGCTAACAGTCCTATCTTTGTGCCTCTCAAGAACAATAGACGAAGCAAATAATGGTTTGCACCCGCAGTCATGACAGTGACACGACAGATCATGACTGCGAGTGCAAACCATTATTTGCTCAGTCTACTGTTCTTGCTAGGCACAAAGATATGACTGTTAGAGAGATTATGGAGGCTGATGCTATAAATAGTTCTGGCACGTGTGTCAGTGTGGCGTCAATTGACTTGGCGGATAAGGAGTTGGCGTACTTGCGGTCCGTGGCAGGGCCACGGATTGGTTGAGATGTGGTGCGGTGACGCAGTGTGTTTCTACGCCGAGGTTCTTGAATTAAATCAGTTGAAAGTTAGCACTCTGTGGTGTCTGTCCTTCCTATGTCCCCGTCTTCAAAGCACAATCATGTTTTCTAACGTACCGTACCAACTTGCCCAACAATCAGCACTTGCTAAAAAGTGCTATTGTGTTTTAAGCAGCTCGCACCAAATATTTTCTTGAAATACATAGGTTCATGGAAATTATTATGTAGATGTTGGCAGACAGTCATGGTGAGGCCAATCTTTAATGCCAAGTGGTCCACTTATTCAGAGTTAATTGAGTTTGTAAATATTGTAGGTCGCAAATTAAATTTTTATGGTACGCAATGGGCACAATCATCCGTAATGACTAGCTCTACCTAGGGGAACTTCATACGTTTACTACGGCAAGATGGTTTCGAAAAACAAAGTATTTAGTTTATTCAACTCCTGCACTAACCTTGTCTTTAGAAACTTTTTATATTCTTTGCGATGCTGAGATAAGATTCTGGAAATAGTTTTTCTAGAACTACTCTAGATATTTCCAGTTCATCATTTTTCTCGCAAAGCATTCGAGAGAGCCAAACCCTGTAATGTACGGAGGGAACTCACAGAATGATGCGACTGACAGTTTGGAACATTCGGCACTGTAACAGTAATAATGACATGTCACTTATGTAATGTTCATTATCGCAGATCAAACTGCTTTTTCCGTCTACACTCATTTTCAGTAGACTCATTCAGCGAACTCCCACCTGAGACTGCAGCGCTGGGTTCTCCAAAGTAATTTGAATGAATATAGATGCAACAGGTTTCTTTGAGCGTGCGTCTAACACATATTCTTCATATTGAATCTGCTAACTGTATTCATGTCCATAATTCCACATTCCAGCTTATTTTTATTTGCACATTTGAGTTTTCTTCAGTACTTTTCTCAACATCTGTGCTTGCTGAGCCGTACTCAAGTCCATACATCTTGTCTTTCGCTATTACATTAATATATAAAACTGTTGATGCCGAGTGAGAATTCAAGGTACCGAATCTGTCGTGCGAGCTAAATAAGAACCAATAAAAAGCTCTACAAAGGAAATTTTGTTAAAGGATGCTGTATGGGCATTAGAATAGCACATGCCATGCTAAAAAAAAAAATACAAATTCTTGTTAGGTATGCGAGGATGACAGTGCTGTGCTGTTTCTGATGTGTCACAAAAAAAAAAAAAATCAGTGCCATACAGTGTTCCTTATGGAAGTACAAACTGTTGAATTCGAAGCCCAGAAGTTTTATTCAAGAATGTTCCTCAATACAAACGTATTTAGAGATCTGAGCCGCTGACTCATACATGACTATGTGGCAAACATTAATTTTCATGTGGATTATAGTTTACAAGGTCTAGTCTGCATTGATTTATTGCATTCATGCTGAAACTGGGAGGGGTTCCCTGGGTATGAATAAAGAGATAAACATTTCTTGAAATCAAAACATTTGAGAACGGACAAAAGGAAGGATCTGAGAACGGTATCTTAGATTCTCTTCTTTTTCTTACAGTATCTCTAATGTTCACTTTATTTCACCTGATGCATTTAGTTTTTAGCGCAGCTCTTAGCACCCGTTTCCGCGTTTCGCGGCGTCGCTGTCGGCGTAACCACCCAACTAAACTTGGCAGGAAATTGAATTAACGTTGTGGTCATGTGACGTTAATATTTCCGCTAAGTCTAGCTGAGAAACTGAATTTTTTTATGGATGACGTGACACGGTCATGCGACGTCATTTTCCCCGCTACTTTTAGCGGAAAAACTGCATTTGTGTTGAGGTCATGTGACATCAATTTCTGCGCTAAATTTAGTGGGAAACTTAACCAGCTAAATTTAGTGGGGAAATTTTCCCGCTAAATTCAGGGAAGTTCCCTGCTAAATGGGAGGGAGCAGAAGAGGAGGAGGGGAGGGGGAGGAGGGGCATACCTTCCCATCCTCCTCTTCAAGATCTGTGCTCTAATTTCACGTTACAGAGAATTGTAAACGTCTCATATTTCATCTCATGTTTATTCAACTTTTATATTGCAGGTGCGCTCACAGCACAAATCTGGGTTGTGCTGATCCTCTACGCACAAGTTAGGAACTCCTGAGTGGCAAGAGTGGGAGTTTGGTCTGACAGCTCAAGGGACACCATTGTTCAGTATTGAATTTTTAATAATCTTCTTTTAAGCAAAGTTAAGCTTTCCTGCATGCAGTTCTTGTAAAAATAAATACCTGCAACCAAATTTACCAGGTCACGACATTTCGCCTCTGCTCTTAGTGGTCCTGGTGAGCCTCGGATAAGAGCTTACTGGTGTGCAAACACCATGCTTGTTTGAAACCACTCACTGATGTAGAGACTCGCTGACATCCAGCATTCCAATGAAACGCTGGATGTCCACAAGTCTTTCTTGAACAATGCAAGCGGGGAAGGAACCATACAATCGTATCGTATTGGGGGACATTCTACAGAGTTTTTTTTCTATGTTTTACAGATTTTTTAAAAAAAAAAGCCGTAAAAGCTACATTTACGCGGTCTGTGCACGTGAGTTATATGGCCAGGGCGGCATAGTATAAAAGGCTAATTTGTAATGATCCGTCGGCTTATTACAGAGATATGCCAGACTTCTTTCAGAAAACTAGATGGAGGTTCATTCTAGCGTAGTTTTATCCCGCGAATCTGAATATCCCGTTCGTTTTCCTCAAAGATATAACTAAACGTGAGAAAACACAAAAAACATCCCACCAACAGTGACATCGTAAGAAGACCTTTCGGCCGCCAAGCGTGTGTCGCTTAAGGGCCGCGCGTCCAATCGCAAGTTTTCTAGGTATATTCTCCGGCACTGGCACCAGTCGTGACACATTTTTCTGCCCTTTTAAAAATAGCACGTGCGTGCATAGCTTTGATAGGCGCTGAAGATGCGTGAACAAAGATTTTGAAAGCTGCTGTTGTGACGTCGCTGTCTAGGGAGGTGCTTTCACAGCGCTTTAAAAATGACTATGCAGCCTTGATTAATTAAATTAGTAAATAATTTTGATATTTGAGATTCTCGAGGTCGAATGAAGAAGATTTAAAAGTGTTTTCTCAAATACAAAACTGCTTCAGCCTCTCTCTAAGTATAGTAAGTTCGTGAAATTTTTAATCAGTGAAAATAGACCCATGGTTCCAATTAGAAACCTGCTAAGCATCATCAAAACACTCTAAATCAATTTTCTTTGTAAAGATAGACGAGTAGCATTATATGGCGTTATAAAAAAATGGTCAATTTGGATGCATTTCCAGACTTCGGTTTCTTACCAGAGCGCATCTTTGCACCTGCGGTCCAGCTGCCCGGTGACCGCAGTGCGAAGCCGCCCCCTCGCCTCCCTCGTAGGATGAAGGGAAGCAAGGCGCATGTGTGTTGCGTGTCTATGCCCCTGGGGAACAGGACCGTGGGCGCAGAGATGAGCTCTGATAAGAAACTGAAACCTAGAAACTCGTCCAAATAAAGCTTTTTACAGAATGCATAAAACGCTACCCCTGAATTATATCCTTCTAAAAAAAACTTGATTTTGTGGTTTTCAATGACTCAGCAAGTTTCTAATTGAAACCATATTTTCATTTTCACTAATTAAAAAGTTGATTAACAAATTGTATTTAATTATCTGACTGATCGTTACGACTAGGTCCCTATACTACGTACGCCTGGCCGTATAACTCGCCTGCACAAACCGCATTAATATAGCTTTCACGACCTTTCTAAACATGCATGTAAAGCTTGAAACTAAATCGCCCTGTACAACAGTGAAAAGGCGAAACCAACACGCTGGAGCCATATGGCTCCACCATGCTGGTATCGCCTTTTTGCTGGTATAGGATGTCCCATATTACGTTATGCATGTATGGTTCCGTCCGCCTACATGGTTCCGCCTATATCCACTACGCTGGTATAGGATGTCCCATAATACGACACGCTTGTATGGTTCCGCCCACCTGTATCGTTCCGCCTTATTCCACTATACTGGAGCCGCCTTTTTCGCTTGTATAGGATGTCCCATATTACGGTTATGCTTGTATGAGCCTTTTCCGTCATCTTTCCATCATCGAGATTTTCCAACAGGGAGGGGTTGTAACTTCTGGCATAAACTATATTTGAAATAACATGTTTCGGTCGTATTGCATGCCACAAGTATTAACATTGACTTCTATGACATCACAATCATCATTATCTCTTACCTCACCAACCTGAACTTGTTCACAGTGCAAGATCTTGTTGATTTGAGGAGCATAAACGGAGTAAGTCAGGTACGTTGCGGAAAAGCCTGGGGAGTCGCATCTTCCATCTCCGCTCAAGTCGACAGGACTGTCTTTTAGCTGCTCCAACAGCTCATCCTGGTGCTTTGTCCGTACCTAATCATGAAGATAAGCACAGCACATCTGTTGCACAATTATGCTATAACAAGCAATATTACAATTTTTCAATTTATTGGGATAGTAAATGGCATCGACAGTAAAGTGGAGATACAGCCAAGTAGGTTCATGAATCATCAAGGTAAATACAGTGCATCGAAGGATAAAGACAGAAAGAAGATCACAGGACGAGTCCTGAACAAATGGCTGAATTTGTATTGAAAAACGGCTTAAGCAAAAAGCCAACAGAGAAGCTAAATAACCTGCCCGAGGTGACGTCTGTGTTCACATGTGTAAACAAATGTTTAAAGAATGGTTCTATAAACAAACTGATTTCATTGAAATCTGAACACTGACGTCATCTTTGACATTTTATTTTACTTTTTGTAAACTTTTTGCATGAGATGTTCTTTTTTCTTTTTAAATAAAACCACAGTTGTTACTTTGGCGCTCGGCCGGTGTGCTTTTCTCAGTCTTTGTCCTGTGCGCTGTCTTCAGCTTAACAGTAGTTTGTCTTAATTCTCACCTTCTCTACAGTGGGGATGAGAAATGCCGACTGATAGTTAAATAACGATTGGTGTAATCTGAGCTAGTTGGTTACTCATTATGAAAAAAACCAGCTGAACTAAGGAAAAGGTAGAGATAGAAAGAAAGACACCCGATCGCTGGACTACCAACTGTTTTTATATATAAACCTCCTCTTCATCCTCTTCCTCTCCTTCTGCATAATTCACTTCGTTCCCCCCTTTTCCCCTTTGTTTTACGTTTTATTTTACAAGATGTTGCCCCCTCGGAGAAATTGTTTTTCGGTGCGCAACAAGGTGATACAGTACATCCTCAGCGTCTTGACTTGGACGTTCATTAGCTGCAGCACACGTAATGTGGCTGTTGGGCTAGCTCCAGAAAAGAAGATTGCTGAAGACAGTAGCAAGCTCCCAGCAGCCTTGCCCTTGATGACTGGCTGACTGCTCCAGGTATGGTAGTGCGAGTCTTTGCAGATGGTCTCCACCTTCACCAGGGTGCCTTTCACAGTTAGGCTGGGCTCGCACTTCATAAGGCAAGTCCGGCAGATGGTAAAGAGTTCCAGCAGGCAGCTTTCGAAGACAACATATTTCTTCTCATCCTGCAGGGGCAACCCGGATTCTACGGTTTCATCCCTAGAAGGAGTATAAATTAATATATGATTAAACAACACCTAAATGTGTTCGTTGTTTCATTTTTTTATCAGCAATAAGCAACAGACAGCTAGGGCCCCTACAAGGCCACAAACAGCTACAGAAAACAAAACTAAAATTTAGGTCAGGTGTAGCTTGATACAGTGCCGCATAGTCGTCGCATGCGGACAAAAAACGATAGCGTGTGAGCGAGGTCGAGCTGAAATATAAGGGGAGTTCCCAACCTGGTTGGATGCCAAAATGTATACAGGGTATTCTTGTTCGTTAGTAAATCGAGTAGGGAACATCAGCTTCTCTTTCACATGAACAGGCATAAAGTGTAGGATTGTCTCAAAGACGGAGATACTAATGTTTACCTCTTCAATATTTCCTTGAACTGTGCCTGTAAAAAAAAAGAAAGGGAGGCACCCTACCCTGAACACGTGTCATCTTCCGACTGCTCGCTGAGTGGGGTCCAGTCTTCATCCTTTTCTTGGCCGCGATCAAGGTCTTCTTCAAGGGGGGAAGCTGGTGAAAGCAGTGAGGGGGTAGGAAGCACGGGAAAGGAAGGCACCCAGCTTTCCGTTTGCACCGCACAGGCCATCGCAGCATAGGCCTCTTTGACCTGCGTGCCTGACCACAGGCAAACAATAAACAATTATTACATCTCTGTTCAGTGTCTCCAGGCAAAGAGAATGTGCAACGGCATAAGGAAAAGTTTAGTAACTATACATGGTATTGTTGGATCCCCCGAGGATTGGGCCTTCGCGTATGACAGTGACTACCAACGAATACATTCCAGAAACAAACCATACAGACTAATTGGATACAGGTATTTTATGGTTGCCATTATATGGCTAGAGAGCCAATGCCGATGTTTCTTGGAATGCTTACCGACTGCCGTTCGACCAAGCAAAGAACCTTGGATGTGTGTAGCTGCTTGTTGAGTAGCCACTGAAGCTTGCACAGATGCATCCTTCATAGCTGCCTTGCCTTGCATATCAACTCGCAGAGCTACGTCGTGTGTTGCTGGCCTCTCTTGTATGCAGCGATATGTAGTGTCTGCTCCTGCTTTCCAGGCTACGCAGCAGCAGCACTCTTGAAGAGGTGCACTCTCCATAGGTGCTTCATTCGCCGATACCGAATCATCATCCTGGTAAAGGAAAATTGACCACATTATACAACCTGGAAGTTGACATATCGACTAGGTTACGTCAAATCTATAAATTTAAATCATCAGTAAAAGTAACAATCAGTAAGTCCCTACAAGTCCCTAGAGGGAAGTGACATATCACATATCCATTGAAGTCCAAAAAGCAGCTTGTTTATTCCTTGCTGCCTTAAGTTCAATTGGTCTAGTAGTGTGACACCACATTTGGTAAAGTAAAATCAAAAGAAAAACAGTAGTATTTAACAGATTAAATTTTATTCCTCGTCTACAGCAGGACTCGTCGTCCACTCGAGGCAGACCAACAGCCCTGCTGTCTTAACATTCCCCAAAAAAATTTATTTGCGCAAGCATAAAAGTCTTGAGCTCATGCTAGTAGCACCTCGAGAGCAACTTTCTGCGGGATTTTTGGGGAAGGAAAGAGCATCTTGTTGCGTAGCAATGATCGACACTCAACGTACGTGCGGGAGCCGTAGCTTGGGGTCGTAGCTTTGATTGCATGCCCACAGAAATTTGACAGAGTACAGCACCGAAGGCGCGTCCTTCGGCTCCCTTCCGAGGTTGCGGATCCGCAATGGCTCGACAGTAATTTAGCACATGCAGATCGTACTGTTCGTCAACAGTAGAGTTAATGCACTCGTTATCCTCCGTATGGTGAAATTCGTTTGATGCTCGCGACGCGACTCACCGTGGTCCTTTGACGCTTGGCGACTCTCTCCTGTTCGGGGGGCGACGGTAGCCGAAGTTTCGGAATCGTATCGGGTTTCAGGTGGAGGGCTTTTGGAACCTGCCCGCATTCACGGAGAACACTGTGGATGTGGCTGTAGTCACGCTCGGTGTCAAAATGCTCCGAGCATACAAGAATGACCGTAGACCCGGGGTCTCTCAAACCGATGAGCCTGCACCAGGTGCTTCTACGTGGTTCATCGAGTGGCAGGCGGTGAAACAGCAGTTGTTTCTTTTTAACCTCCGGACTGTAGGAACTGTAATTCGGGCACTTCGGTACACTGCAGCCCTTCGGCATAGCCACCGAGCGATCGATCACAAACGTAAACACTACTCGAGCAGCCAGAAAACGAAAGTGCTCCGCAAAGAAAGCGCGACCAGAAGCAAACCCGTTTAGCAGACGACGCCGACGACGCTCGGGGATTGAGTGCGCAGGCGTAGTAGGGTCTTTTTCTTGTTTCGTTTACCACACGATAGATGGCGCTTGGCTCTGAGCATTATCAAATTCGGCAATTTTCGTCAAATCTCTAATTATGCTACAAAATGTGGATCTGAATATTATTTAACAAAACTTTTAGAAAACATTCGCCGGCTATTTATTGTTTACGATCGCGGTGCTGGTGAGGTAGGCTCTTACCCAATAGGCGACGTGGATTCGGCTGATGTGCACCGTTTCTGCAGTGAAAAGGCAGAGAGCTTCCGAAGGAAAGAAGGCGCAAAAGAGTCCGGTTTTCTTTTAAAAGTTCTATAGCGAAGAATTTTTTTTGGCTCCCTATTTTTGTGTTATTGTGTTTCTTTTCACACCTTTTACGACGTGCGGTGGATGAAACTCGATTTTAAAATCATTTCATGGTCCCTTTAACCGCATGAACCTCCTCTTTGTGTGTTTTCAAATCGCGTTGATGTTGTGCGGCACTTTCTGTTCGCACGGCCATGTCATATGCCTTTTGAAAGGTTAGATTGGTTTCGGCAAACAAACGTTGCTGGAGATGCTCATCAGTTATGCCACAAACGAAACGATCTCTGAGCATTACCTCAAGGGGTAGCATGGTCGGATTAGCCGGTGTGTGTCCTGTGGTTCCCGAAATCACAGGTGTTCCTTCGCCGGTGGCGCCGGTAGCAGTTGAAGCCAAGCCGACGCTTGTTGTACCGGAAGTTGTCGCAGTCCCCGGTGTCACAGGGATCCCGAAGTTGCATTCTGCGGCTAACTTCTTCAAAGACGCCGCGTAGCTGGATATGGATTCCCCGGGTTGTTGGTCTCTTCTTTGAAACTTCGCTCGGCTGAACAGCTCTGACGGCCGCGGGTCGAACTGTTTCTGGAATTGTGCCATGAGCTCGTCAAAACTGACGTTTGCAGGGGTTCTTGGTGCCACGAGTGCTCGTACGACCTTATAGGTCTTGGGTCCGCAAAGTGTAAGCAGTAGTGCTCGTTTCTTTGACGGCTCTTCAACTGCGTTGGCCTCGCAGTAAAAGCTTAGGCGTTCGGTCCAAGATGTCCAAGCTGTTCTGTGGAACTCCTCCAGCTTGCCTTGAGAAGCCATCCTGCCCGCTGAAGTTCTTGACTGTTGACCTACCTCGTCGCCAATTGTTATGTATCCCAGGCAAGGACTCAAGCTCGGCGTAGACAAGCGTCCGGACGTTACTTTAATGGCGCCTAGAATGCCCGTCTCGAGCCCCAGAAACCCGTGCACCAGTCCCGTGCTCTTGAAAGCGCGGGAGTCCGCTCACGCCCTGTCCTGGCCACCGGCCGGTACATTACAGACAACAAGAAACTGGGACGAAAGGATAAAAGTTTCGTCTTGAGTAAGAATAAACGCGAATCCTCTAGACCTTTTTTTTGACAGGGCGTTGCTCACTCGGCCCTGCGCGCGGCATTATCCCCCCTCCTCCCCCCCCCCCCCCCCCCCCCCCGCCGTTCTAAAGCAGACAGTCTCGATACAACGTGAAAGGAAAACGAAAATGGCTGCATAAATATGGTGAGTGGAAATAAACATGCAGCGCCACAATCCTAACACGCGTAGAACAGCATAAGACGAACCACGTGGACCACTTTGGGTCGTAGCTGGTGGCGTCCTGATGGTCAGATTCCGTCGGGGAGCACCTCGTAGCTCAACTCCCCAAGGCGGCGTATGTACTTGTAGGGTCCACAGTAACAGGATCGTTTGCTCTGCTGGTTGGTTGAGCGACATAAAAAACGGCGCAAAAAGGACGGGACAAAAAGTAGGAAAGATGACATACGGTGAATAACAACCAAAGGTTCACTAGAACTTCCACGCGCACACAGTGGCACAAGAAAGGACATGCTTTTCTTTTTCTTTCGACACAGATAAATGCTTTAACGTTTTAACTGTTTCTCGCAGAGGCCGCGGTGGCGAATGGGCGTCTATACTCATACCCTGTCTCCGGGCTGGAACTCCACGTCGCGGGGGCGAAAGCTGTACCGGGCAACGTCCACACGTTGTTCATCCTTTATCCGAAGGCGGGTTAGCTGACGTACCTCTTCTGTTCTTTGGGTGACGACCTGGACGTCGTCGGTTCCGTCGTCCGTCGGGTAGTGAGGCAGCTTGACGTCGAGCATCGTCGCCACCTTTCTGCCGCGCACAAGGAGAAATGGTGTAATCCCAGTGGTTTCTTGAATCGCTGTGTTGTATGCAAACGTAACGAAAGGCAGCATCTCATACCACGTCTCGGCAATGGTCGTGTTTCATCGCTCTGTAAACTCGTTCGTCTGCGGGTGGTATGCCGTTGTTCGACAGTGGCTGGTGTAGCCGGGCTGGAGGGCCTCCTGAGTTAGCTGTGCCATAAGCGAGCAGTCTCGGTCCGTAACCAGGACATAGGGAGCGCCTTGTCGGAGGACGATAGACTCAACGAAGTAATTGGCTACTTCTACAGATATACCCGACAGGAGTGCTTTTGTCTCGGCCTACAGGGTACGATAATCAGTTACCACGATTATCCAACGTTTTCAGTGCGTTGACGGCGGGAAACGTCCAAGTACAGCCATTTCGATCTGCTGGTACGGTGCAGTTGGGGGCGCGATTGACTGCAGGAGGCCTGCCGGGTTCTTCGGTAGTTTCTTCCGTGTCTGGCACTCGTGGCATGATTGTGTGAAGAGGTGCACAGTCTTCGGGAGCTCGGGCCAGTAGTACTTCTTTCGGATTCTTGCGAGAGTTCTGGTATAGCCAACGTGACCCGATGTTGGGTCGTCGTGGCAGGCTTGGAAGATCTCTTCTCAAAGTCTAGTGGAAATTACAAGGATCCACGTCGAGTTTCTGTCCCTGAAGTTCTCTTCGAGGAGAATACTTCTCCGGACGGCGAATCTTCGAAGGGTACGTGAGAAGGCTCGTGAGTCGTGCCCCCTCGTCCCTACAAATGGTCGATCAGTCCGTGCAGCTCAGGGTCGTGCCGCTGAAACGCTGCCAAAGTGTTAACGCTTACTGCGCCAAGAAACTGATCGTCGTAGTTGCCGTCTGTGGCACAGCCAGTAGCTGACTCAACGGGTGCTCTGGAAAGGCAGTCTGCGTCACTGTGTTTTCGGCCTGACTTATAGACCACGGTCACGTCGTACTCCTGCAGTCGCAGGCTCCAACGAGCGAGGCGTCCCGATTCGTCCTTCAGCCTCGATAACTAGCATATCGAAAGGTGGTCAGTGTCCACTCGAAAAGGGTTTACATATAAGTTGTGGGAGACGAGGGATGAAAACAACGGAATTACGTGCACGTGACAGACGGTCGGCCGGAAACAGACGAGCTGACACCAGACATAGCGTCTTCCACGAGGCTGGGCTGGGAAGGAACGGTGAAGTTGTTCTGACTGGTCTGGCCCATGGCGATCTCCGGAGCGGTTCACCAGCGACGTTCTCACCAGGGCCGGAGGGAACGGCGGGCCTGGCCATACCGGCCTGGCCTATGACGTTCCCGGAGTGGTTCCGCTGCGAGACTCGTGCTATGATAGCATGGGAAAGCAAGTCTGCGTAGCGCTGGCGTGGGAAGGACGATCCGCAGGCCCGGACATGAACTCCGACTGCGAGCTCTGAACGATGGCCGACAACCAGGATTGGCGGGTCTCCATTGTCGGCTCTCGAGGACGAGCAACCGGGAAGTACAGTAAACACATTCGCTGTTTTGTTGTTGTGTTGTGTCACTCCCTGGGAGACGAGCGAAGCACACACCTATTGGGCGGCGATTATTATAGAGCGACATTACCACAGAGAATACCACAAAATATGGACGGAATTTCGTGATTGCAGAGACGAAGGCAAGGCATTCCTTCTTGGTCGTCGAGGAATTTTGTTCCGTTTTCGACAACGTCCGGCTACGCGTAGGCGTTTGCTTTCTTGTACCCTCTTGTCGTTAGACTAGTACAGACTTGTACACGTTACTGAAAAAAAGTAACTGATTACAATTACAATTACTACAGTGAAAAAAGTAACCGATTACCGTTACTGATTACTGCCTCCCAGAAGTAATTGAACAATTACTGCAAAGTAATTGATTACTTTTCAAGTTACTTTCACGTTACTTCTTATTGCGATGACAGAAATACACAAATACACAGTAAAATATTGCGTACACAATTTTGTTTGGTTATTGTTCCCTTTTTTGTTTTCAGACCCGGACCTTGTCGTGTAGCTGACGCGTCGACCTAAGGAACAAAGCCCACTAAAAGTCAATAGCGAGTTCCCGCTTCCCGTCGACTTTATCAGCAATCTGCAACGAGATCCGGAACTCCCCAGCCAAGGCTGGTGGCGCGCTTGTAGAAGAGTTGTGGCGCAAAAGAAAAAAGGATTTGCCGACTAATCCTAGTTTTTTTTTAGATGTTAAAAAAATGTCAATCATTTTTGCTCCATGGCTGAGTGACTATGTTGATTTTTGTGAGAAAAAAAATTGTGGAATGAAAAATGTAATTGGTAATTGTGTAATTGATTTTGTAATTGATTACAGAAAAAAAGTAATTGAATTACTCCGAGCGTTACAGCTTGACAAATGTAATTGAAGCGTTACAAAATTACACTTAACTGTAATTGATTACAAGTAATCAATTACTTGTAACGCGTTACGTACAAGTCTGGACTAGTACCGTGCAGAGTCCTGTATTGCTGGCGTCCGTGTGAACTTCTGTTCGGCTGACTGGTCGAAGTGGCCAAAATGGGTTGCTACTGGAGTCGCTGCTTCAGCTTGTCGAATATCTGTTGGTGTTCTTCTCCCCACTTCGAAGTTCACGGTGTCTTTCGTAAGGTGCGTGAGCAGCGCAGAAAACTTGATGAAATTCCGAAAAAACGGCTTGTAGAACGCACAGAGTTCCAGGAATCTTCGGACGGCTTTCTTATCGGCGGGCGGTGTAAAGGCCGGGA